GGTCATTATCATTATTTCTGATTGTGTTTGTGTGTTTAAGGTGTTACCGCTTCCTCCTGACCTTTTACCAGCACAAAGAATGTGTTTTACTAAAGACGTTACAATGTTAGTTTGCGCTACAAACCAGCACTCAATACAGGTAATGCTGCAGATATACAAGTTCTTTAGGCAATATACACTGTCTATTATCATACCTACGTAAATATTCGATTCTGATTGGCTGACGAACCGTGAATTTTTTCTTAATTCATGAATTAATTGATACCACGCGTGCTATTGATTAATTGCACCAATCCATCCCAGAAGTCTTTGCAAATGTTCTCAAGCAATATGTTTTCGCTATCATGTACTGCGCCTATAATCTACATAGTCTAATATTTTATGTTGGTATGATATCACGAGCTGAAACAAAAACTTGGAATAATTTGCATTTAATTCGGCACCTAAAGGAGTTGCTTCCAAAAATGCTTTGAAATATAAAAAGGTATAATTCGATTATTGACCTTGTAGATTTTGGACCTCAATGATGAAATCACTCTAAACACGACTCTACATTTGCCAGGAAACGAAAAAGGTATGATTGATTTGTCTTTTTTTGTGCGTTTGGTGTTGCTCTTGTTTGTCATCATCATCATATTTAAATGTCATCAATATTTTTGTTATTATCATCAGACATGAATTTATTTTCCAAACTTTAGCAAAAATATATCCTCTGATATATGCGCATCATCTCATCGTATTAATGCGCGCCGTCATTTGGACGTACACGTATCTATTCATWCATTCAATTCATTTAACTTAACAGATCTTCCTGCAATGCGACTGCTGGCAGTCTCTGATGATGGCAAATGGACAGCCTGTGTTGATAGTAAAAACGCCGTCAATGTCTTCAACATAAAAAGTGCCAAGGTATCACATTGAAACTATTGAACAGTTGTTATACAATGCCACAAATGTTGAAGCGAATAGTTGTCGTGTCGCATGATAAGTGAAGGTAGTACTGCATGAAGCAAAAGCTCCTCACTCCCTTTAGCAGAAATGAAATGTGTTGCGCGCACCGCACACTCTATGCACGGAATACTTTATAGTGTCAGTAGTATTTAATACTACAAATTTAGTAGCATTAGGACTCCTCTGTTGGAAAAAAATCCGTAAGATTGAGCGGTTGTATTGCGCCTCGTTTAGCACAGAAGTTGGTCTTTTTCATTTTTTTCTTGTTGTATTTCTTTAGCACCACTCCACACTTCCTACCTTCGATAGCCATGTCACAGCTATGGCATTTCAGCCTGGAACACAGTTCTTGGCTATTGTATGCGCTGATAAACAGGTTAGAGACGTCAAATCATATAGAAAGTTATCATTGTTATCTTCCACTATATTTTATTTAGTTTGTACTGGTTTGTTTAATTTTGCTGTTGTTGTTTTTATTCATCAACAGTTTTTATTGTAATATTTAATCTCTTTTTTCATTTTTTCATAGGTATACATTTATAATACTAGTGAAAGCAAGCTCACAGACTGGTCAAAGCAAKCGTCAAACAATGGTTTACCCAAAGATTGGACTCGAAGATATAGTAAGATTGTCAACGTCGCTTTCAGTCCCTTAGATGCAGACTTGATGCTTCTACAGGACCACGAAATGTTCACTGTGATAAACCTGAAAAAGGTCAGTTGAAACTCCTTCCTTGGAATAATAAGTAATTTGCGCTCATTTGACGCGCGCTTGCTCGGGCTTCGACGAAGTAGTTTTGGCGCGAAAAATAAGCGAAAAGTTCAATTTGTTAATATAGAAACATTTTTAAGTTGCAAAACAATAAAAGTTACCGTTTAATTTTACGAAAGGCGGAGGAATATGTGATCCAAAACCCCTCGACTTAAACGGTACATCCTGATACGACACGACTTGTCCCTTCAGCATTGTTGCTGTTCAAGTTTGGTCGCCATGTTTCTTGTTTTTCGCCTTGCCTACCAGAGGCAACCTGTTGCGCAACAAAAGAAAATGCCCTAAGATAGTAGAAACACTGTCAGTAAATGTTGAACAGCAACAATACTTCGCGTCAAGTTGAAGTTTTCTTTACTAGACACAATCTATAGTATTTTGTCCTATGTTTTCAGCCATTACCAGATCCAGATATTGTTTTATTCAAGAAATCTCAACAAGATGCCAATCGCAAAAGGACAGCAAGTTCTTCACTGGACGAGAAGGCAAAGGGAGCAAAAGAGGACGGAAAAGGCAAACAAAMAAATAAGAAAAAGAAAGGCGGAAAGAAAAAAGAGCAGGAAGAAGAAGAATGCAAAGATTCAAGCGAGGATTCTTTTAAAATTTGTCAGAAATACGAGTCGTTGTTGTATACTGGTTTTGTCCAAGACGGCTCATTAGTGGTAGTGGAAAGACCGTGGATGAAAGTATTGGAATCGTTACCTCCGACGCTTTACCGAAAACGATACGGAAAATGTTAATGATTCTACTAAAACAATCACAAAGAGCAGTTGGCCCGCAATATGAGGAAAAAGTGATTATTTTGAAGAAAGTAATCACAAGAAAGTTTTAACGGTGTGGGTCCTCTCTTTTACAACCAAATGCCTACGTAAAAGGCCTACGTATATGACGGAATGTGCCCAAAATTCTATGATTATGAAGCCACGACTGTAAAACGAGATTCGAACATCCAACTTGTGAATTTTACAAACAATCCGATGTCTACGATGTCTACATGACAAACAAAATTGAAATTAAGCAGTTTTAATGATGTTTAGGTACAGTGTTATGTTTCTTTGACTGGACTGGGCTCCTGCAGTGACKCATGCGCATCTGACCWTAGTCAACAACCAGTATCAAACAAGTATTTTAATATGTATTTCATCAAAATAAATAAATATTACATAAATAATTCGTAGAATTAATGATATAACTTTTATAATTCTTAGGAATTTTATCTCCTTGAACTTGGTTTATACCTCGATCAAAAGTTTTGAATCAAATAGATGTCAATTCTCTAGTATCATCCCAGACATTTTCGACAGGAATTTCGAAAAGAAAAAGACTACAAGGATTCAGTTGCAATTACTGCGCATGCACGTAGTTACACCAAAAGGTGACGTCACAGTCAGACAACGATTTCTGAAAGTTTAGCTGTAAGTTCCCCATGTTCTTCGATGTAACAGTACAACGGCCCAAGACGTTTTCCAAGAACACGTTCAATGTCATATCCCTACAAATACCAAACAAGACAGCGAGCTTAATGAAAATATAACGTTGCTTGCTAATAAGCACGAAGTGAGCTAGGCACAGTTTTCGGCCTTCGTACGCACCTGCCGGCTAAAAACTCGGCCTGGTCAGAGAAAACGTCAGACAAAATTGTCGCAGGTTATCAGACTTTTTGCAAACATAGCGAAGCACCTCTTGCAACATTGTCGCACGATGTCGAAAAAGGGAGTATGTCCCTAATGCTCTTTTTGCAGTGAGTTTGTTCGAGAGAAACACGCCAACCCCACCCTCGATCAATGACAATACCCTTTCTTTTTACCTGGTCACTGTCTCGGTATGAAACAGGGAGTAGCTTTTCGATAGTGGCCTGCAGAAGCTGTAAACAATAACAATACACTATGACTTTAAGCTAAATACAATAGAGCGGATTTCGTATGAGTGGGACACCGTTACCGCACGGTTACCGCACAGTTACCGCACCTGGCCTGCAGAATTTTGGTGAAACAATGGGGCACTAGAATTTGGTTACAGTCCGATTACGGACACAGTACAGTACCGTCCGTTTCCCACTCATACGAAATCCGCTCTATGTATGGTGTAACGAGCACCTTACCTTGACAGTGACACGCGCGTCTCTCCATATATCACACTTAATGATAACGTCAAGATTAGTCTTAGTAATTGGGTTAGTCACGTCGTCTTGGCAAACTGGACAGAAATACGGTAATCTATAGGAAGTAAACGTTCCTTTATAAGAAACTAATAATGCATTTGGTAAACGTAAAAAACGGTGTCAAAAGGGACAAGGATATATGAGTAAAGGGTTCCATGGCATCTTCTTTCTCAATTTTTTGTTATAGAATTTTGTCATTTATCGATCTAAAAGTAGATCACTTTTAGGTGATAAACGCTAAAGTAAGTTTATTGCATCATTATGTGATCATGGTATGCAAAACCGGCTTACCCGCTTCTCTCCAATAGATCCTGACATGCGCAGACAGCACACTCTAACCAGCAGCACGCAGTCTCTTCATCGACTCCTTGAACAACACCTAGACGATCATGACAAGCCTTGTTATCAAAACATGACTTTGAGTGACAACTCGAAACATCAAACTGGCTTTCAAACTGGTTGCAAATGAATACATTTTGAAGAAAAGGAATTCTCTTCAATTTCCCCCCATGTTTTTTTTTAATGTAGTTGTTCCTTCTTGACTTTGAGTGACAGCTACACAACATCAAAGTGGCTTTCGGTTGGAAATAGATAATTTTTTTCCTAGTTGAAGAAGGGGAATTCTCCCCAATTCTTCGCCTATTTTCGTTTTAAAGTAATCTGTTCTAATTTTGTGACCCATTTCTGCATGATTTAGGATTAAAATTACCATGTTTTTTAATGTATTTGTTGCTCGTCCTCAAACTCATTGAAAATGCGAGTGTTTGTTTTCAAAACATGACTTTGAGTGACAGCTACACAACATCAAAGTGACTTTCAAACTGGTTGCAAATAAATAAATTTTTTCGAGTTGAAGAAGGAAAATTCTCCCCAATTTTTCGCCTATTTTCGTTTTAAAGTAATCTGTTCTAATTTTGTGACCCATTTCTGCATGATTTAGGATGAAAATTAACATGTTTTTTTAATGTATTTGTTGCTCGTCCTCAAACTCATTGAAAATGCGAGTGTTTGTTTTCAAAACATGACTCTTTGAGTGACAGCTACACAACATCAAAGTGGCTTTCAAACTGGTTGCAAATAAATAATTTTTTTTCGAGTTGAAGAAGGAAAATTCTCCCCAATTTTTCGCCTATTTTCGTTTTAAAGTAATCTGTTCTAATTTTGTGACCCATTTCTGCATGATTTAGGGTCAACATTACCATGTTTTAATGTGTTTGTTCCTCGTCCTCAAACTCATTGAAGATGCCAGTGTTTAATGTTATCAAAATATGACTTTGAGTGACAGCTACACAACATCAAAGTGGCTTTCAAACTGGTTGCAAATAAATTAATGTTTTTCGAGTTGAAGAAGGAAAATTCTCCCCAATTTTTCGCCTATTTTCGTTTTAAAGTAATCTGTTCTAATTTTGTGACCCATTTCTGCATGATTTAGGGTCAACATTACCATGTTTTAATGTGTTTGTTCCTCGTCCTCAAACTCATTGAAGATGCCAGTGTTTAATGTTATCAAAATATGACTTTGAGTGACAGCTACACAACATCAAAGTGGCTTTCAAACTGGTTGCAAATAAATTAATGTTTTTCGAGTTGAAGAAGGAAAATTCTCCCCAATTTTTCGCCTATTTTCGTTTTAAAGTAATCTGTTCTAATTTTGTAACCCATTTCTGCATGGTTGGCGTCAACTTTACCATGTTTTTTAATGTATTTGCTCCTCGTCCTCAAACTCATTGAAAATGCGCGTGTTTGTTTTCAAAACATGACTTTGAGTGACAGCTACATA